GGCAGTTTGGGTGAAAGTGACCATGAAATCAAGAGTTCATGATTGTAAGGAAGGTGAGAAGGGAGAACAGCAAAAAAGAAACAATGGATTTCAGGACGGCAGATTTCAGTGAACTCAGAGAGCTGGTAGGTAAGGTCCCACGGGAAGCAAGACTAGGAGGAAAAACAACTGAAGAGAGTTGGCAGTTTTTTAAAGGGACATTGTTAAGGGCCCAAAAGCAAACTACTCCACTGCGTAGAAAAATAAAAAGCATGGCAGGAGACTACTCTGGATCAACCAGGAAATCTTACGTGACCTAAACATCAAAAAGGAGATGTATAAAAAGTGGAAACTAGGTCAAATGACAAAGGATGAATATAAGCAAACAACACAGGTATGCAGGGGCAAGATTAGAAAAGAAAAGGCACAAAAAGAACTAAATCTAGCTAGAGGCATAAGATGTTCTACAAGTATATTAGGAGCAAGATGAAGACCAAGGACAGGGCAGGCCCATTGCTCAGTGAGGAGAGAGAAACAATAACAGGAAACTTGGAAATGGCAGAGGTGCTTAACGACTGCTTTGTTTGGGTTTTTGTCAAGAAGATAGATTGTGACAGGATGTCTAACATAGTGAATGCCAGAGGGAAGGGGGTAGATTTAGAAGTTAAAATAAAAGAACAAGTTAAAATTTACTTAGAAAAGTTAGCTGTTTGCAAGTCACCAGAGCCTGATGAAATGCATCCTAAAATACTCAAGGAGCTGATAGAGGAGGTATCTGAGCCTTTAGCTGTCACCTTTGAAAAATCATGGGAGAGATTCCAGAAGACTGGAAAAGGGCAAATATAGGCCCAGCATGGATTTGTAAAGAACAAATCACGTCAAACCAATCTGATAGCTTTCTTTGATAGGATAACAAGTCTTGTGGATAAGGGAGAAGCAGTGGACATGGTTTACCTAGACTTTAGTAAGGCATTTGACATTTATCAATATTCTAGGGAAATACAACCTTGGTGGGGCTACTGTAAGGTGGGTCATAACTGGCTGGATAACCATTCTCAGAGAGTAGTTATTAATGGTTCACAATCATGCTGGAAGGGCAGAACAAGCGGGGTTCTGCAGGGGTCTGTTCTGGGCCTGGTTCTGTTCAATATCTTCATCAACGATTTAGATGATGGCATAGAAATCAGAGAAGGTCCAGAGAAGAACAACCAAAATGATGAAAGGTCTAGAGAACATGACCTATGAGGGAAGACTGAAAGAACTGGGTTTCTTTAGTTTAGGAAAGAGAAGACTGAGAGGGGACACGATAGCAGTTTTCAAGTATCTAAAAGGGTATGTCAGGAAGGAGGGAGAAAACTTGTTCTCCTTGGCCTCTCACGATAGGACAAGAAGCAATGGGCTTAAACTGCAGCAAGGGAGGTTTAGGTTGGACATTAGGGAAAACTTCCTATCAGGGTGGTTAAACACTGGAATAAATTGCCTAGGAAGATTGTGGAATCTCCCTCTCTGGAGATACTTAAGAGCAGGTTAGACAGACTCCTGTCAGGGATGATCTAGATGGTGCTTGGTCCCGGAAGGCAGGGGACTGGACTCGATGACCTCTCAAAGTCCCTTCAAGTTCTAGTGTTCTGTGATTCTAAGTGTGGCCTCACAGGAGCTGGTTCAGAATAACTACAATGCTTTATATTCACACCTTAGTTTATTGGAACGTAGTATAGGCACCTCCTCCATGTAGGAGGCTCCCAGTGGCATAGCGACCATGCCAGGAAGGGACAACTCCATCTGTGTTGCAGGAAAAGGTTGGAAGTAAAGGTCGCTTTGCTAGTAATACAAAGCTTGGGTGAGTTTTCCAGCAACCTCATGGATCTGACCGTTAGTTCCAAGCTGCAGCTACCAATTAGCGGTGGACTCCGCTGATACTGAATTCCACCAAATGTAAAACTTAAGATCCAAGCAAGGAAGCCCACGGATGTGCACGCATGCACACACAGCTACTTGTCTGCTTCAAACCTGGGGTTAGCCCCATGTTTGCGACAGAGAGAAAGAGAAGTGACATTAGAGCCAGGTGCACTGCAGACATGCATGGTACAAGCGCCCTGCAATCTAGGTCTCGCATGCTTGTGCTAATCTCCTCCACAGCTCTGACTGTGCAGTCCTGGGTGTCGCATAAACAGCAACTACCAATTGTGACGTAGTGAGGGAACCTGGCTGGTTTCTATGCTGCTGGCTCTGGGGTAACCCCCACTGCTGCAAAACAGGATGAGTCATTATGCAAAGGGATCTCTCAACTGGTATGGCCAGACACCCCCCCATGGAGAGGAACAAAGGAAGGTGGAATGCTGCCCTGGCTGGGGGGCAGGGCTGGAAGAGTGTTGGTTAGTTGCTGGCTGGGAGCATGAAGGAGACAGCCTAGGGGAAGGGGCTGGAGTTTAGGGGCCCAGTCTCCCCCATCTCAAGGGGGCCTGAGGCATCCTAGCCCAGCTCTGTGACCAGATTCCATCTGTGCTGTGCTGTATCCTGGAGAGGCAATAAACTTCCTCTATTCCACCGGCTGGTGCAGTCTGTTTGTGCCATTTCGGGGTGCAGGAGACGGGGGACCCCCGACGCGCCGTCACACCAATCAAGTCAAATTGCAGGGGAAGACAAGGGTAGGACAAGGCCTCCCTGCTCATCCTGTGAACCCGGGCTCCCAAAAAGGAGAGTCTGCTGAAGTAACTAACCCACTTGGCCTTCTAAGTATGTTGTGCCCACATGTAAGAGAAGGATTCAGGGTGTGCAAGAAGTATGCGGTTCTTCTCCCTGGTCTCTCCCCAACGTGTGTTCAAATGGCTCCTCTGGGATGTGAAAAGCAACCAGTATATTTGAGCTAATCCATCACAAACGTGAACCAGCATGCCCTGCCAAGGTGAAAGCTCTGATGGAAACAGCATAGCACTTCAGTATTTTTATGTCCTGTCTGGTACCGTGGGAAGATCAGCAGTGACCTCAAGTTGGCATGCATTAAAAACAAAACACTTAACATGCACTCAGAGCAGCTAGCATTAAGAATTTACAACAGACAGAATTGTGGTAATCTGCAAACCAGTCTCCTGAGGGCGTCTTTGAGAAGGAACATTCAACCCTAAATTAACATACTAAACACCACCGCTTTATTAAGGAAGCAGGGCTGTTTAATAATGAACGCTGATGTCTAAGATCTGTGTACCGTACAAGTGTCATTTACAGCACTGATGTACACGGAAGGCTCACTTAGACACTCTCCTGCCGACACCACGCCACTCTGGACATACTCCAGAAGCAAGGCACTCCCCCAGCTTTCCCAATGCCAGGGATATTTCAGCCTCTTGAGAACCAGGCCCCGGCATGGCCTACCGGTCACTGGAACGCAATGAGAAAGAGCCAGACGAGGCCAGTCCTGAGACAGATGGGAGTTATGCACAGGAATGGGCTACAGTCCTGGCAGCCCTTGAAGAAGAGCACTGAGCCTAGCTCCAAGCAGGATGCTATAATTTCACATCGCTAGCGTGCATGTATGGAGAGAAAGTGGGAGGGGGAGGGGAGGAAAGAAAAGACCGTCTGCTAACTCCTGCTCAGCACTTCAGTCCCATTTAAAAAAATCCCTGCAGCAGCCCATCGCTTGGCAAAGGAAGTGAAGATCAATATATGGATCTCTTGTGGGCCCCAATAGCTATATTGGCAGGTACATAAAGTCAGCAACACATTTAACTGGCTCCAACAGATTCTTTAAGTGCTTAAATAGTTGCACACAAAGATACAGACAGGAACCCTTTTACACATTCACAGGAGAGGCTGCAGAAGGGGACAACAGTGCAGCTCTTGAGGAACAAAATGCAGCTCAGCTTTATGGTGAGGTGATTCTGGACTAGCCATTTACTACTGACCTCCCCTGGAGGAATGAGACACGCAAACACACTGCTCAGCAACCAGCCAGCAGTAAGCAGATGCTCCTCTGCTCACAGAGCTGTAGACAAGGAAGATCCAACACTCGATCATTTTCAGCGGGAACTTAGTTTTATTTTAAACGGAATCAAGCTGCTTTCTCAGAAGAATCTCTCTGTTGAGCCTACACACACTCCATTTCAGTAGCCTCATGTCAGTGGCCAGTAAGTGGGATGTATCCAAGGGGGGGGGTCTCAGACAATGAGGACATACTCAGGGTTGTTAACAGTACTTACCAGAATGCTGCAAACTTCTCCTGTCTCGGGGAGCAGTGGTAAAAGGTTCTAAATTCCTGGGGCTTCGTGTGCTCTCACACTTTGCACCTTTCAAGAACTCCTAAAAACCTACCTTCACTAATACCTCAGACCTGCACTGACAGCAGTTTATAATATGCAAGATTAGATATATGGGAGCTAACATTTCCACAGAAAAATGAATGGAGAAGTTCTTACACGTTAGACCCGAGTGCTCAACCATTCTACCTGAGAGACAGAAATGGCCTTTGTCTGAAGACAGAAATAAAATAAATACATTCAGCCAGCCGGGATTGAAGCTCAAGGGTACGTCTAGACTACACATGCCTCTGCCGACGGGCATGTAAAATAGGCTACCCGACATAGTCAATGAAGCGGGGATTTAAATGTTCCCGGCATCATTAAAATAAAAACGGCCGCCGCGTGTGCCGGCTCAGCTGATCATCGGCACAGCACGGCAGTCAAGACGCGGATCCGTCAACAGGGAGCGCCTTTGTCGACCGCTCCTTTATGCCTCATGGAACGAGGTTTACAGGAGCAGTTGACAAAGGCTTCCCCTGTCGACTGATCCGGTCTTGACTCGCGTGCTGTGCCGATGATCAGCTGAGCCATTTTTTTTTTTAATGACGCCGGGGATATTTAAATCCTCACTTCATTGACTATGTCAGGTAGCCTCTTTTACATGCCCCTGTCGGCAGAGGCATGTGGTCTAGACATACCCCAAGTGTTCCGAAGACACAGCAGAAAGCCACAGAGAATGCCTGCTAATAGTTTCAGAAGCCTAAAGGCAAACCAACCTGGCCTTACCTGTGGACATAAAAAATGGAATGCGAAATTTCCCGCTCAGCACCCTTGCCCGCAGATTCTGCAGCGTACTCCCATCAAAGGGCAGAGCACCGCAGACCAGCACATACAGGACCACGCCAAGACTCTGCATTCAAAACAAAGAGCACACATTAGCACCACCACCAAGAACACCAGGGACTCTGCAGACTGTGGGGAACAGCAGCAGGTGTACTTTTTGGGAAAAGGCAAACCCAGTGAGGATATGGCCAGGGTTTGGCATCCCCAAACTGACCCTAACAACCTCCCAAAGATGTGTGTTCAAATTAGAAGTCTGCTCTTAGGACTCAAAGACAAAGGCTGCAATAACCCTAAAATCCTAGCCCTCTATCACCACTACAGGAGACTAAGTAACGTTCATCCTCAGTGTAAATCCACTGGATCAACAGTTACAGAGTTTGTTAACTCTGGTGTGTTGTCATTCTAGTATGGCTCTGTGGCAACTTAAGTCCACATAGAATGCGGAGAGCTTAACGCACAGCACACTTCTCACTAGAGCCCTGTGCGAACATAAAATCTGCATCCATATCCACAAATACGAGGTGTGGTTATTTACAGCCACATCCGCAATGCCGATACCCGCCCATAGAGAGCGGATATCCGTGGATTTGCAGGGCACAGAAAAGGAAAATGGAGCAATGGCAGAAACCATAGCTCCACACTAGAATGACAACAAACCCCATGCCCAGTTTCAGACCAAGATTGTAAGGCTGCTATAGTCCTGCTTTTGCAGAGCTGTTACCAAATAGCTAATGCCTGTAAAGGAGACTTTCAAACTACTTCATAGGTATAGAATAAGGAGGCAACTGCTAACATTTTTAGTTTGGGCCTTTTGTCTTCATTGTACCCCTTTCGGTGCTCTGTTCTGAGAGATACAATCTTTACTTGCTACAAATAACTATACCAGGTCAAACCATGTACCCATGAGAAGTTGCCTATTCCACTTGTTAAGTATTACAGGAATCTAATTCTTTCACGACCAAATCAAAATGTACATGTATTTCTATACAACTCCTGAATTATAAAGTACAGTGCTATAAAACAAGAAGCATGCAATTTAACAGCTGGAATAAAATGTTACATTTCTTTGAACATGACTATTTCCTACAAGAAATGAATTCAGTGCTCTGGAAGCAAAGCCACATGTAACTGAGTTTTGATACAAGATCAAAGCAAAACACAGATCTGTTCACCGCATACCCAAATGTCAACTTTCGGCCCGTCGTACTCCTTCCCTTCAAAGAGTTCAGGGGCCGCATAGGGAGGACTCCCACACCAGGTTTTAAGCAGCTGGCCAGGTGTGAAGATGTTACTAAACCCAAAATCTGAAAGAGTAAGGAGAGAATTGGTTAGAGGAATACGTGACCCATTCCAAGGACTGTAAGCATCACGTGATGTTTCTGAAACCAAATAGCTGAGAGATACCATCCAGGGAAGTCGTGCAATTCCACAATGTCTGACTGCCATTTGGACCCAAGACAAAGAAAATGTGAGAGAAAGAGCTGCACGTTATCTGTGCATCATAGTGCAGCTGACCCAACCAGCACGTTTGCAGCTTCATCTCCTTTCTAACAAGCAATAGAGGTAGAATACTGACAATAGCATAAAATATACACACTATGTATTTAACCTCTTTAAAAATGCCAGGAACCTAGCACTGTTAGAACTGCATCAGAATCTGCAAATACAGTCATCTCACTTATTGCGTCCAATTCTTACAAAAGGTGCTTTTCTTCCATTTATCAGCGACGCGTATCAGCTCTTACAGAAGAGACACGTTCTAGCAATTAGGCTCAGCACTGGGATTTTAATTTACATTCAAAAGATTCCACGTGAAGATCCTGCATCAGTTTCTAGCCTCCATCCTCCCAGCTGTCAATTAAAAAAAAAAAATCTCATAATCACGATCAGAGCAGGTGTTCCAGCTAGAGCTGCTGAAACCAAGATATCAAGTAGATACAGAGTAAAGCAGAGAGGATGGAAAAACTGGGTGTTTCCAATTGCCAGAAAGTACGTGGATTCTTTTCTGGCAAACAACGGATGGAGCCCCAGTTACAGAGAACAACTTCGCAGTCTGATCCAGCCATTCAGCAACAGCACACGGTAAACCCTGAAACTCGAGTCAAGAGCAAAGTCTTTGTAAGCAAACTGTGACCAGCCATCTTGTCATTCAAACAGCATTTGCACTTGGTATGCTCCAGTGTGCCATCCGAATCCCAAAGGTGGTTCTGGGAGACGCCTGCACACATGCACGTGTGGAGAAAGGGATGGAGTTTAGGAGACAAAACTCTGTATTGCAGCCATACACCACTGCTTCAGCTGCCGGACAGTAAGGATTCCCGCCCTTCCCCGCTGCACCAGCCAAAAGAGTTTTGCCCACAACATGGCCATCATTAGCCTTTCTTCCCTTTTTCTTCCCAGGCAAGGAAAAGAAAACCATGTAGCAGGATGCCGCCTACATGCCACGTGAACAGGAGTGCTACCAAAGCGGCCACACTGCCAACTGCTTTGCTAGTAATGCCCTGCTTGTCATCCTAATAGAGAGTACAGACAGCAGGGCTGCATTGCTATTCCTGGGGAGGCCTGCTGCATTATGGTTGCTGCTGTAGTATGTCCCACCACGCACACAGTACGGTTCAAGACCACGAACTGCTGCAAAAAACAGCAAACAGACTAATATAAGAAACATGCAAATTAAATTTCGAACCCATCACTTGCCAATTCCTTGGATTTTCCACCATGCTGGAAACCAAATAAATTACTCTAGACTGGCAAGCACAATAATGTTCAGCCCAAAGGGGCTGATTCCCAGAAACAGCACGCAGCTGGGAGTTTCTCTAATCCACCTCTGCAAGCCTTTGAAGTGTGCTCTCATGCTTACAGTGGGATGTTTGGCAAGTCACTGAATTCTTACTGTCAACAAGCACTAACATCTACAAGTCTAAGTAGGCTGCACCTTTAACAACCAACCATTAGGATTGCCAGATGTTTTAACCAAAAATACCAAACACCCCCACCCCCCAAATAAAAACACCGGGAAAAAATTCTGTTGAGGAAAAGTAAGGGGGAGACTAAAAGTTGTTGGGGAGAGGGAAGAAAAAGACCCCAACAACAGTTGTTAAGCAATAAAAAAAAATCAGCTTGGCCCCTTTAAGAGGCTTTTTTGCTGACGGCCATCTTGTTTTTCTGTTCCAG